AGAAATAGAAATAGAAATAGAAATAGAAATAGAAATAGAAATAGAAATAGATATAGATATAGAAATACAAATAGAAACCAGATATTGAAACGCCACATTATAAAAAAAAAAACAAAAAAAGAGTAATATAACTAGAATAGAAATAAAACAAAAAACAGCGTAAAAACATTTAAACAACAAGTTATATAATACTATACTGACATGTGTGCGGTTGTGGCGTGTACAAAAGGATCCCATTCAGCTAAAGTCACAACCAAGGCTAGGTTGTGACGCTGGTTTTCAATGGGTCCTAGCTGAATGAGTGAGAGTGACGGACGAATGCGTCCCGAAACAGAAAATAAAATAAGCTACGTAAATACTTATGTCTTATGTGTGTATCGTGTTATTGCAGTGTGTACTCATATATCGAATACATACTTACACATAATCTTTGCAATATATACACACAGTTATAAGTGCATATAGTGTGAAAACAAATTAATAAAATATTTAAAGTACATTACTACAAATATATTAAACAAGATTAACTATTCTTCGTAAAATACAAGTTCTGAGATTTGAGTTTGATGTAATGATAAAAGTGAACATAGCCCTGATATAACTGAAGCGTTCGGCACAATTTGAATGAGTGGCTGAGTGGAAACTTGGCTCTAACACACAAATTACAAAATTAACAGGATAAATTACAATTATTTTAAAGGGAAAATGAATAAAGGATGATACTATGTTGAACGTTTTGCATTTTTAATAGGTATTGTATTTTACTTTGCTTTGGAACACGACGATAGTTAAGCATGTATAAAAAGGAAAAAAATATAGTGTTTTAAACTTGACCAACTCAAAATGTTACGTGAGTATTTTATTGTATTCTTTATCATAAAAAATTCACTATAATATAAAGTTTATGGAATATCCGATGTTTTATTATCATGATGTCGTCGTTACGAATACGGGCTTGCACCTCTAAGTTTTTTGGAATTTATATGCAAAATTTCATTTGAAATTTACCAGGAGCTTTTCGGTGAAGTTTCCTTCACATGATAATGAAACCTGCACGCTGCCGTACGTTAACTAATAAACGCGGCTATGTGACAAAATAATTTTTGAGATATCGCTCTGCTATTACAATAGTGTTGTAACACAAAATATGTGAAATTTAATATTATATCATTACTGAACTTAAAATTTGATTCTCTACACGTCAAAAAAACCGTCGGTAGAATATTGTAAAGAAACAATCAAAATATATCTATTTAACTCAAAATGAGAGAGCTAGGAAATGAAACTATTTTTCCGGATTTAAATCGCGTATATTTGTTTTTTCAAACAAACCGACGTTTCGGGCCCTTTACAGGTCCCATGGTCACGGTTGACTGAGGTGGTACAGTCTTCAACCAGTTATGTCTAATATTAATGCAAACCACCCTATTTTTTCACTATAGTTACAATAGTTATTAATTAAATACCTTATTTTTAATTTTACAAAGAAAACATTTACGCTACATTAAGTTTTACAAATTATTTTATTGAATGAATTTTTATTAAGTTTAATTTATTATTAATTATTAATAGAAATTAGAATAAACTAAGAACTCGATATGAGAGAGCTAGTTATTATAACATATAAATTTTAATGATTTTTTGCGGGAAGTGAGTAATTCGTTTTTCATCGATTCTGAGAAAATCCTCGTTTTGAGTTAATACACCATAATATTAACAGTGCGAATCATAAAAGATCATAACCCAGTTTTAGAATATTGAAATTGTTTAATGACATTTTAGCTATGTGTAATTAGTGTAGGTAAGTGTTTTGAACGTGTGTTTGTAAGTGTTTGCTATTTAAAACGGATGTTTGATCAATTGTCACTGAACCGCGTTTTAATAGTGGACAGCAGCACGATGAAGAAGTTTCTCAACCCTTAGAAAACGTTCACACGTCGCCAATCCGCATAGGGCCAGCGAGGCGGACTATCGCCTAACACCCACGCCTGATAGGAGACCCGTGCTCAGCAGTAGGACGTATAAATGGGTTGATAATGATGTTGTGACAAAAGTACTTTTGACCTTAGAATAATAACGCATAGAAACCTAGCCCGCACACGCTAAGTGAGGCAAATTGTAACGCTCCCAAAGGGCGTACACGAGCGGGCGGGCCGTCAGTGCTCAAGGTCAACTTGCACCGCGAACAGCTCAAGAATTATAGCTAAAAATGAGGAGATGTGCGGTAAAAGAGTATAAAAATACGTCAGACAAACATAAAATAGATACGAACATCACATTCCACAAGGAAGTAACGCGTTTCAACTTGTATTTTTATATAAATATTCACTAAAACCGAAAAGTAACCTACTACTAAAACTAGCCTACATGAATTTGATTTTTGCCTCACTTGTGACAGTTCGTTTCATATGATACTATCATTCTATGCGTTATTATTCTGAGCTTTTGACATATAATTACGTAATTACGTACATTATTACATCAATAGGGTATACGGTATACGGTATACGGTATACTTTTTCGAATGTTTAAGTTGTTTTTTTTTTTTGCTAAATTTCGTTAAATGAAATGTAGTTTTAGTAGCAGTAGAGCTCGTGAAAGAGTTCGTCCAGGGAAGTACTGCCACCTTACCTATTTCTGCCGCCAAGCAGTGGTGTGAGCATTGAGCATGTGAGGTTTTGAAGGGTAAGGGTGCTGGTGAAATTACAGGCATCCATATGCCTATAAGTCCCATGACTTTTCAACTTATGTCTCAAGGTGACCGGCGCAGTGGCAGTGCCCCTGATCTTTGCGATTTAAAGCTCTGAGTGGCATTGCAACTGTTATCGACAGGCGTGTAGTGTACCATCACTTGATTGGTTAAAAAAAGATTACGAGGTCGACGATGGAGCATACACACCTAAATAATGCCTTATTCACTTTCTTCTGGAAAAGGCCCAAGTTCTAGCATTCAGGGAATAACTCTGCAAGCAGGGAATTCCACTCCGTCTATAGCTGATCGCCATATAAATGTGAAATCGTAACGCTTCGTGCGAAACCTTGTAATATTCACAACATAGGGGTGGAACCCCAGCCTATGTCTAGTCCCTCGATGATGTAAAGGGTAAGGCGGTATTAACTGCCAGTTCTAGTCATCTGAGGTTTCCACAAGGTGAATAGAATGCTCCATTCGTATTATTACATAGCAAGAGTGTTTTTTTTGTTACAGTAGTCTCCTGGTTGTTGGCGTTTCTACATCTTGCCAGTTCTATTTATGGCGAAGAAACCAGTTTCTACCACAATCTATCCAAACAACGGTTCTCCGTAGATGGTTTGAACCACAGCTCTTTGTTCGGATATAGTACCTCCTATCTACACTATAAGACACAAAAAAGGTAAATACAGTCACTATTCATTTGAATCATCACATGAAATCACACATCGAATCATCCGAAGAACAGAGTCCTACGTGATTATACAGCGAAAAGAGGATAAATATATAATATCATAATTCAAATCAAAGCCTAGCTATAGGCGTTTATCAGAGTTTTTATGTCTTATTTCGTTTTGGAAATAGAAAGTCGAACAACGATCGAACTGATATCCACAGCGAAGAACAACGAACAAAATGTAGTGGCCTGAGAATAAGCAGTCCTGCACATAGGACTTTGTTTTACGGATGAGTCGACATGTATCTAAAAATTTCAATATTAAAATTTAAAAAAATATTTAAATTGAAGATCAAATTGAAACACAGAATCGAAATCCGTTCAGCAGGAAATTGAAAACGCCAACAGCTATATATGACGTCACACATATCGAATATATATTTATTTCGTAGGTAAACAAATTACCCTTGAAATCTTCTTAATTAAACTGTACTACTCATTCCCTATTATCTGACCCGAGAGATAGGGTTCTCCGGAGAGACTTAACGGCAAGATGAGGGAACGACGGGCGTCCAGACCAAGCCCTCCGCCAGTCATACGCTTTCACGGGCGTCTCTGGCGGACCCGGACTTGGGTATGGACTCCGGGGTTTGCGGTTAGCTGTAAGGATGTGATGGACACGTTCGTCTACCCCGGTGGTGTGTGGCCGGGGTGTTCGTCCCGCGTGCAGCTAGCGCGTCTTAGTTGAGGGCCTGAGGCGAGGAGACGCGCGGGGCACGTGAGTTGCTCTTTAAGTCGATAGCTATGTCCGGACACTGATACTTGGCGTCTCCGGCACTAACCCGGAGAGCTAGTAGTGGATGAGCTAGACATTTTCCGGTCCCTCTGGGCGCGTTGGAATTTGGGAACTGGAGAGACGCCGTTCATTCGGCGTCGGGAAGTGAGCGTGCCATACAGCTCCGCCACCAATGAGTAGATTTATTAGTCGACTTAGAATCGGCGGCTCAGCAGTGGCAAAGTCGTGCGCAGCGCGACGGGAAGTAAGCGTGCTTACAGCTGGTGCCTATCTGAAAAATAGGGAGGGTGCTGTATGTGCACCCGGGGCGGGTCACCTAAGGCACTAGCCTTACAGAGACTGGGATGAAGTCCGTACAAACGTGCTGATCCGGGGTTAGGACCTGACTTAGATGGTCCCGTTGCGGGTGTACTCGCACTGGGGGCCTACCACAACCTCTTAATACAATACATAGACTATTCGTACCATGACGCGCTTAAAATAAGCTTATTATAATGTTAAAACTATGATGTTTTATTGGCAGCTTTGTGACTATTTATTCACTCAGTTCGTACTATGACGCGACTTTAAAGTAATATTGTTCTTATGTCAAATTTAGCAATTTTGAAATAGTTGCACGGAAGCAATGGAAACAATATTATTTTCGAACTTATTGTCTAAATGTTGATTTGTATTGATTAAAAATTAAGTTGAACTTATTTATGTACATATATCTCTATAATATTTTGTTTATTTTAGTACATAGGAAATAATTTCTCGTTAAATAAAAATACGCGATGTTTTGTTTCGTAAAATTATGACAGCGTCATCTACATGCTCCTTGGCGACACTAACAGTTAACAGTAGACTATAATTCCGAATTCACAACGTGACTATCAAGCCTCGGCATATTTTATTTATTTTTCTTCAAGAAAATGCGGAAAAATAATTAAAAACAACGTAATTTTAATAGATTTTATTACTACATACTTTTCTTTTTTTGGCAGTAAATTTCTCTGAAATTAAATACTTTACATTACACTACGATAGGACGATTCGGAACATCAAAAAAGAAAGAGATGGCATTATACAGTTCATATAGCATTATTTCATTCCTATTTTTTAGTAAGGAATAGACAATATTGGGAAATCATTCGTTCTTTCAGTCAAAGTGACTTTCTTTCAGTGAAAGCAATAATACATTACTTGGTTGATAGGTTTGTCATGGTATGAATATGAGTAATATTATAATAAGCTTATTTTATACTTACATTGAAATTAGATTGCTTTTTTGAAAGGTTATGAGCTCCCCAGGTCATAGTGCCCGTCACGTATATACTAAGGGTCGGTAGGTGATAGTGACCCTCCTTTAATCAAAATTAATGTAGAAAGATATGAGGCTGTACTGCTCATTCGTAAAGCAAAATCCCATGACAACAATTAATAAGAAACTCTAAACGATTGCGATTTGTAAATAAATATACATATATATCCATTAGAATATTTATTTCAAATACTATGGGAACAATCTGAAAGAGCTAAACGTGTCACTAACAAGGATTTCTTTTTTATTTCACTATAGTTTTAAACCTCGTAAGTGGCAAATTTTGAACATCAACCGGAATCTTATTATAGAGTCGTATATAATTTGCCTCTTAAATAAATTTGTGACTTTATGAAGACGAGTGTCAAGAACAGCTAGTTTATTTTTATTTCTCGTATTAACGTATGTCTAAAACCATTTTTTATGAAGAAAATACTATTCTTAACACAAATTAGGTTTTCATAACGAACCATTTCTTACACCACGATGGCAAATCCTGTCACCACAATGGAAGCGTTATAGTGCATATCATCGAGACAATAAGAAGAAGATAAATGCATTGTGCCGTTGGTGTAAGAAGTTGAGCAGCAGTACAGCTCCTTGTGAAAGAGTTCGTCCAAGGAAGTACTGCTACCTTACCTATTTCTATTCTTTTCTATTTCTGCCGCCAAACGGTAATTCGAGCATTCTGCGTTCCAGTTTAGACGGGTAAGGGTGCTGGTGAAATTACAGCCATTTCAACTTATATCCATAAGATCTTTGCGATTTAAAGCTCTGAATGGCATATGGATAGGCGTGTTAAAAAAAACGGAATGTTAATTTTTTATACTACACTTTCAAAATCGCTGTGGGACACGCATTGTAATTTACCCTAACCGCACGTCTTTATAGGACAAAGATTCTATTAATATCAGCGGCATTGCTCCACAGAAATTATCGTTCCTTAAAATATCGAAAAACCAACTATAGATCCATTTTCTGCGTGTTCACATGAGTTAGTTAATGCAAAAAAGTCAGTACAGTTCAGGAGAAAGACTGATAGCAACAGGTTAGATATCGTTGCCGAAAACCATCGAGTATACGAGGGTCAAACTGAAAGTTCTTAGAAAATTAAAAACTGATTACATTAGCCAGTTATTAGTTTTATTATATCTTTTCAAAATATTGTCCATTCACGTCAATACACCGCTGCATGCGATGGAACCACTGGGAAAAGCACTATGCCCACTCGTCCTTAGGGGTCTCTTCAATGGCATCGCGATACGCAGCCACCGCTTCTTCAGCATTCATAAACCGCTTTCCTTTAAGTTTTTCTTTAATTTTTGAAAATAAATAAAAATCACAAGGCGTGAGGTCGGGGCTATACGGCGGGTGACCCAATAATTCAACGTTTGATGTCGCCAAATAGTCGATCGTTCGCTTGGCGGTGTGCGACGAGGCATTATCGTGGTGAAGGAGGATCCTACTGCGAGGTCGTTTCTCTCGAACTTTTTCCAAGACAAGTGGCAAACAATTGGTAGTGTACCATTCTGCAGAAACTGTTTTTTGATCCTCTAACACAATTGTTGCGAAATGACCTATCCTTCCAAAGAACGAGGCCACCATTTTTTTTCCCGCACTTCGATCTCTCTTCACTTTAGTTGGCAACTCCTCGAAAGGAAACACCCACTGAGCAGATTGTCTGTTGGTTTCAGGATCATAACAGTAAATCCAGCTTTCGTCACCTGTTAGTATGTCGAACACAGCATTTGAGTCACCTCCGTTAAATCTTTCAATCATTTTACGGCACCAATCCACACGATGAAGTTTTTGAGCCTCAGTCAAATTATGAGGTATCCACCGGGCGCAAAGCTTCCTGACCGCTAAATGTTCGTGGAGGATTTTGTGCACTTGACTCATACCGATGCCTAAGCTTGTCCGAATCTGCTGATAGGTCACTCTTTTGTCAGTCTCTATCATACGCCGCACAACACAGATGTTATCTTCAGTCGTCGCCGTAGAAGGCCGTCCCTCACGTAAATCATCAGTGAGATTAGTGCGACCACGTTTAAACTCATTAAACCAGTTGTAAACAGTCGCACGAGATGGGGCTTCATCGTGAAAGGCCAATCGTAGTCTATCATAACTTTCTTGTTGACTTAAATGACATCGAAAGTCATAAAAAATCATTGCACGAAAATTTTCTCGTGTTAAATTCATGTTGACGTGACACAGACAATTTTCAATTTGCCGCCAAATCGTAAAACAAATGACAAATGAATGAAATATATACTCAGTAATATTGGCAAAGAGTTCTATTTTCAAATTTAAGAATTATTTTTTTATTATATTGTTTATAAGTGGCCAGTTCTAAGAACTTTCAGTTTTACCCTCGTATTACCAGAAATAGAGACGAAATGTCATTTAATTTGTTTGAAAACTATTCTGCCAAATCATTACGGTAACAACTGCGCTCCAATTGGCCAGCCCGAATTTGAAGCAATTGACGGCTGTCGTCAATTGTATCACTTCAACTTGAGCTTTGCTATAATGTACGAAAATTGTTAAATTACATATTTAATATTTAATTACTGATGAAATGCGATTCCGTTTGTTTTGTAATTAGACGTTTTATTAACAGCCTTCCATTGTGAGAGATAGGTATTATCTTTATTATAATAAATACAGAATATTTTTGGAATATACGGAGACGTATACACAGGTCAGCTGTTGGCGCTGTACTATTTCATCTTTATAATTTGTGATTTAGCACAAAGAGATTTGATATTTAAATTTAAAACTGATATAAGGCTCATCTGCCTGATAAGTTGCCAGGGATGGATCGCCCTGTTTCTGGTTATAAACTCGATGCTGAAAACGCAGATGCAAGCTATAAATTTATCGCTTAGCGAACAAAATCGCTTAGGT